ACTGGCCCTCATATGTGGGATCCGAACCGGGGACCTCTGGCGTCCCAAGCCAGCTCTTAACCAATGCACCACTCGGCCGGCCCCAAAAAACCATTCTTTAGGCATTGCTCTTCATCACCCCCGTGAAACATAAATCAAATTCCCATGTATGGGTGAGATTTGCTGGGTTCTTTGTTCTGTTCCATTGCTATATTTGTCTGTCCTTCATCCAATGTCACACCGCCTTAATTATTTGGCCTTTATAATAAAGCTTGATATCTGGCAGCACAAGTCTTCCTCCACCTCTTCCTCCTCCTCTTTCTCCCCCAACTCTTCTTCCTCCTCCTCCTCCTCCTCTTTCACTTTGTTTTACTCCTCTTCCTCATGAATGGTTGTGTTTGCTCTTCCATAAAATTTAAAGTTGGCTTAAGTTTCTCTCTCACACACACATACAGCAAACCCATTGAGTTATTATCTGGAATTGCACTGGATCTACAGATAAATTTGGGAGACTTGACATCTTTCAGTATTGAATCTTCTAATCCATGAACATGTTATTATCTCTTATTTGTTCAGATCTTCTTCAATGTTTAAAAAATGTTTTCTTCATACAGGTCTTGCATTTTTTTATTTATTCCTAGGTACTTGATATTTGTTTGAAGCTATTGTAAATGGTATGTTCTAAAAACTGAATTCTTTTTTTTGGGTGGAATATAGAAATACTAATTTTTTGAAAATACGAATTTTGCATCTGTTAACCTTGTTAAACTTATTAATTGTAATAATTTATCTGTATTCTTTCAGATTTGCCACATATATGTTATATCATCTGTGAAAAATAACAATTTTGTTTCTTCCTATTCAATCTTTCACTTTTCTTGCCTTACTCCACTGGCTAAGGACATTCAGGGGCAATAACAGACATTCTTGTCTGTAGCATGCCTTTAATCACTACTAAGCCCTTCTGCCTCAAGCCAACAGCTTCGCAATTGTTGGTTCTCTCCCGGAGGGTCCCACACTCTCCTTTAAGCCCCTGCAGCGAGTTAAAAAGAGAGTTTGCCTAGGGTAAGCTCCTCTTCCAATATTGAGGAACCCTCTGGTTGCCACGCAACGGCGTGGTCCTGATCCAGAGAAGGTGTGGGTGGGCGAGAAGCACGTGCCTCTTCTTCCGCATTCCGGGACTACAACCCCCACAATGCTGCGCGCTGCGGGCGGCTGCTTTCCAACGTGGGGGAAGGGCCCGGCGGGCCAGGAGGCGGAGCGGAAGCGGAGAGCTAGGGAAGAGGAGAGTAGAATCTTCACAAGCTGGAAAACCAATCTCGTCCCTGATTCCCAGCCCCGGCCTTTCTCCATCCCGACCTGGAGGCTGCTTGGCAAGCGCGGGACGCAGCTGACGCCGGCTAATCAGCTTTCGCTGCGCCGCCCTGGCTCGGGAGCCGGTTGGCGGCGGCGACGGTGACTAGAACCCCACAGGCAAGGTAATGGGGAGGGGGGCGAGAAGGGAGCGGGAGGTGGAGGCGTCCCAGCCTGCCCGACCTGCGCCACTCGTGGAACCCCTCCGGCCGGGTGGCCGCCCCTCCTCCGCCGCATCCCGTCCCCCGCAGTACCGGGGCTGCTGCCGCTGGGAGTCCGCGGAGACCCGGGTTGGGGACGGGCCGGCAGCCCCCGGCCGCCGCCAGGAGGCTCTTTGTCCCTGCTTCTCCGAGTCTGACAGCCACGGCCCTGTGGTCCCCGGGCGAAGAACCGAGCCTGGCTCTGGCTGCGTGATCCGAGCGGGTTGGGCTTGGTCCCGTGGCCGCTGGCGCCGGGGAGTGACGGACCTGAGCTGCGGGGATGGAGTACCCGCGCGGCAGCCGCACTTGACTTCTTTTTCTGTTTTTGACAGCTCAGCTTTGTTCTACTTTGAGAGAGAGCAAGTCAGATGCCCCTCCTTTTAACTCCCTCTTCAAAACTCAGTTTCTGGGTGACTGGTAAGAATGAACTGAAACTGCTTATACTCTTGCAAGAGGTATTAAGAGTGGCTCAGACAGCCTGGGTTGAAATTCTGATCGAATCACTCCCTGCCTGGCTTTGTGACGTTGGTTAATTAAAGGCTGTAAATCTGAGTTTTCTCATCGATCAAATAGAGATAAAATACACACCTTTAAGTTGTTAGAATAAGAAATAATAGGCTTATAACGCCACTAATTCTTCATTTATTGAAAAATCCTTAGTATAGGATACTTTAGCTATACTGAAGTAGCTTCTGGGTTTGTGAATTTTGCGTTTTCCTTTCTTTAATCGTTAGCACCCTAGGCTGTGTGTTTTCCACTTTATGCATTCTTCACCTTAAACCTAAGCAAAGAATTCTTTAAAATATGCGGTCTTCTTAATTTCCACTGTTTTAAGATGGCTGAGAATGTTCTTAGGAAATTGATGACTCTGCTTTTCTGTGAATCAGCTTCAGAGATACATAAGAGGATTGAACACCACCCCCACGCTGCCCGGGCCAGCTGTGTCCTTTGCAGGATCCTTGGAGGAGCTTAAGTGTGTGTTTCGGCAGAGTAAGCATCTAAGGTGCTCTGCAGCCGTGACGTGGGTTTCACCATTTTTTCAACTCTATTAACTTTTTTCTACTTCTTTGTACTCTTTCCCCTGGTTAGCAATTTCCCCCCTTTGGGATTTGTGTTTCCAAGTTATAGTTTTTGTGCTCAGGACAAGTTGAATGAATGTAATAAATTTTATAAGGAAATGACTTGGAACAGTTCACATTAGCCCTTCTTTAGTTTTGGTTCTTGCACTGTTTTATTCTGAATTTTAATGACATTGGTGATGAGTTTTTCTTCAAGGAAATCTCCATGGTCCTTAGTTGAATTTTTTTTTTTTCATTTAAAATGTCTGTTTTGTACTACTTTGAGTTCAAACACTGTTGTGCAATATGTGAAATAGCGTCCTGGGCAATGCAGTTTTTGAATGTATAGGGATAGTGGGGGAAAAGCCAGTGGGGCCTGATGAATTTCCTGTCATGTCTTTAGTGACAGATGTATATGTAGAAATATTGAAGAAGAAAAGGAGAAATCTGATGAATGTATTTCATAAGGATAACAGAGGGCCAGAGAGTAAATAAGTGGAAAACTTATTTAAACCCGTGGGAAATGGCATATGCACATAAAGATTTCTGATTCATTTTGAAACGTGTGGCAAGCATACTTGTTTTGGCAAAAGAAATGTTTCTATGTTGGTGTTATTGAGTGCAGTATAGGACAGAGAATAATGACGACGGAAATAGGAGACCTTGGTTCTTGTCCCAGCTCTGTGACTATCTGTGTAACCTTAGGTTTCTTTGTGGTCCTCAATTTTCTCATTTCTAAAATAGTGAATTGGTCTGATTCCAAGGACTCTTCTAGCTCAGACTTCAATGATAAGGGTTTTTAGACGTTCTTTTTAATGTGGAAAAAAATGGATGTAAACCTATTTAGTCATTTATTTGTGTCTTAGGGGTGTATTTTCACCTTGAGGAAGGGGATACATATGAAAGAACTAGAAAGTAGACACAAACAAGAGTCTCTACTGAGCAGTTCCTCCCTTTCTCTCATGAGCTGCTCACACTTTCTCTGAATTTTTTTTTTTTAAAGATTTTTATTGGGGAATTGGGGGATGGGAACAGCGCTGGTGAATCGGGGGAGGGGAACAAACAAGTTGCTGTCCTTTCGTTCTTCAGTCTAGTTGTGGATGGCGTCGCTTCACTGGCCCATGTTGGTGTTATCATTGCGCTCTTCCCGGGTGAGGTAGATCAGTCCTCGGCCACTGGACAGCCGCTCACGGTGGCTTTTGGCAGCTCACGCCGGCTGCCGGCTGCTCTGCTCGCGGTAGCTTATGGGAGCCGACAGCAGCTCCACTGCAGCCTACACTGTTGCCAGCGACTCAGGTAGCCCAGCTCCAGGTTGAGCTGTTGTTCACCATCTTAGCTGTAGAGGGCGCAGCATCACTGGCCCTCATGTGGGATCCGAACCGGGGCCCTGCTG